TTCGGGAAAACTCTCCCCAAAGCAGCCGCGCGGCTCCCTCTCCGGCACCCAAACCGGCTTTTCCCGCCTAAAACAGGTCCGCCCGGGACAGCGGGACCCCCAGACCGAGAGACGGTGGCTTGGCGTTTAAAACGGCCAGGGATGCCTCGGCTCCCCCGGCAGCACGGCCAAATGCTCATTTGCAGCAGCGTAACAACCCGGACTTTACCGAAGAGTTTAATGCTGACAGTCCGATTAGATGGGTGCTGCCACAAAGACACTCGCTAGGGACTACCCAAAAGAAACCAATTTGTTCCAGGGGTAAAGAACTGCCAGCCTATTCCTACATACATTTGCTCACATTTTTTTTCCTAGTAACAATGCAGGCAATCAGAAAACCAGCAGTGTTTGAAGCGCAAAGCACTCTGTATTTAATTAATTCAACAGTAATTTAAGGAAGGTAAGTATCCCTTCCTTACTAGTGCTAATGGAAAGCTCTCAGCTGTCTTAAATCCTTTTAAAACCCTCCTGTGCAAAATAAAACTTTGAAACTTCCAAAGAACTGTAAGTGAAATCAATGTCAATCTGTTGCATTGATAGAGGTCTTGCACTTAGAGTAGCATAAAAATCACCAGAAGTTTAATAAATTGCTTTTAGAGCATTGTCCTTGTCAGCTACCAACATTAGTGAAGCTGTGAGAGGAAGCAGCCTTGGCTTCACATATAAACAAAATGCCAGGCTTTTGTTTATATGTGAAGTGAAGAAAAAAAATTTTTTGTGAAGAAAAAAAATTCCTGTGGAAAGCTCTCAGCTGTCTTAAATCCTTTTAAAACCCTCCTGTGCAAAATAAAACTTTTAAACTTCCAAAGAACTGTAAGTGAAATCAATGTCAATCTGTTGCATTGATAGAGGTCTTGCACTTAGAGTAGCATAAAAATCACCAGAAGTTTAATAAATTGCTTTTAGAGCATTGTCCTTGTCAGCTACCAACATTAGTGAAGCTGTGAGAGGAAGCAGCCTTGGCTTCACACATAAACAAAATGCCAGGCTCAACAGACAATTCCTGTTTGTTTTTTGCCAGTGTTGTTACTCATTTTTAACTGTACTTTTTCTGGTTTCACATTTCAAAATATGAGAAACTCTGAGCCATATCCAAGTATCATACAGGAGTGTTTTACAGTCCATTTAAACATCTTCTGTTTAAATTGCCTTTTAACTGTACTATTTGTTTGCACTTTTAAGTATAATTCTCCTTATAAGACAATTTGCCATAAGATCCAGATGCATCAAATCCAAATGAAAAAGATACTACAATACAGCAACCTTCCAGATTAAAGTATGGGATGAATCCTTCAGAACCAACACTTTTCATAATTCACGACCCATCACAGAAATGCTGAAATGAATACCTACAAGCTGTGATCACTGTTTACTTCGATAGATTTATCCTTTTAACCATGCTAAAGAATGAATTGGTAGGGCAATGGCAAATGGTATTACCTAAAAACTCTACCAACTCCACAGTCAACTCTCCATTAATGGATACAGTAAAAGAAGAAAACATGCTTGACTCTTTGGGACATGGCTAAAATACATATTTATCTTCATTTCAAGGAATTCTAATGAAGAAACTAACTAGAAATGTGTTCATCCTATTTCTGGAAGCATTAAATTACAACAGCTTTAATTTGCCTGACCTAAAGCATCACTGTGAAGACAATGATGTGAGACAGATGTTAAGCCTGTAATAGAGGCGCAGGACTATGATTCCAAAAGTTTGGATTCTGTTTCTTCCCATTTCACAGAACGTACAAAGCACTTTCAGTAAACGTGCCAGCTCCTCTGCAATTGTGTGGAAGATTTCGTTTCCACACCTGAAATGACAGTGATGTGGGACTTCGGACTCAAATCCTGCAATGACATACAGCAAGTGTTCACACAAAGATCCTGTTAAACTTTATGGGACTTGAAAACCAGTTTATATTCTCAGATGCTGTCTACTGATATTCTGCTTGACTTAATCCAAATTGTTTCTATCCTCTTAACTTTTCTCAACATCAGCAGGGCGGAGCAACATCAGCTACCAGAGAATTGTTAAGCCATATTCCTTGTCATCACACCCAGCAGAATGATGTCATATACAAACATTTAAATGGGATTCTCAGAAAGTTTCAAATATAGAGTAGACCAATTGCAAGTAAGTCAGATCAAAGTGTGCTCAACAGAGAACTAAAGATTTCTTCCTTAATTCTACTTTAAGTTTTTATGCACGAATCAAATAAACTAGTGAAAATTGTGTTGCACTGAGCCACCTAGTGGTTACTTTAAAAAAATAAAGGGCTCATTTTCAAAAATAGAAATCAACAGATTAGATGTATGAAGAATTCAGAGAACAAAAACGATACAACAGTAGAAAGGAATACATCTGCACCACTACCAGTTTGCTCTGTATCCTGAATACAAAACCGGACAACCGCCCAAGACAACTAACTGTCCTGGTTTATAGATATCAGGCCAGTGACATTTTACCAAGTATTTCCACGACATAAAAAGTCACTAAGGCTGCAAAATGAACAAGCAATGCTTTTGTTAAATTGTCAATCATACCCATGGAACAAGACTTTTAGTCTAGGGGGGGCACTGAAGATGGGGGGCAAGCAACAGAAAAGGAGAGACTGAAGAATATATTTATCACTGTCATAGAAACGTGGTTTGCAAATCAGTAGATCTGCCATGCATCACCGCATCCATTCCCTGCTTTCCCACACAACCACATCATAACTATAATAAATTGTAACTTAAAACTAGTTTAATTTCTTGCTTGGAACTGCTATGGAAGCATAAGCTAGGACCTTAAAAATGTGTGGACGTGGCACTTCAGGACATGGTTTAGTGGCATGGTGGTGTTAGGTTGATGGTTGGACTTGATGATCTTAAAGGTCTTTTCCAACCTTAATGATTCTGTGTGATTCTGTGTGTGACCTAAGACTTTGCACTGTTCTTTTAATTACAGGACTTTATAACAAAATAAAAAGCAAGAGCCTGAGCTCTTGAAGTCTAGTACTTTTATTGACATTTTATACTGACATACAAAATACAGTGTATTACAAGATGCTTATAAAAATGAATACAGACACTATAGCAAGTGCACGAGAAATATCCCAACAAATTTGCATTGAAGATACAGGCTCCAAGGGAATCCTATTTCAAAATGGAACCCCTTAACAGTCTTCTCAGTAGTCCGTCTTCCTATAAGCTACTGCTCATTGTCCGTTTTATCTTCCTTTTAATAGTTGGAGAACTGTTACATAAGAACACAAATAAAAACTACCTACAAAGTCCCTGTTGGATCAAAGAACAACTATGTTGTAGTTTTCACAGCAGACCATAAAATGTAGTTCTTTGAATACCCATCATTTGAGGAAAAGGATTTGTTATGTTAAAGACAAGCCAAAGTCCAATTCAGCAGTATTACAGATGCTGTTGGAGTATACTTCTTTTTGCACTTCTCTCCACTTCAGTATTTGTTCTGCCAGCTCCTCCAACTCCATCAAGAGCACCTCTGTTTTTGTCAAAGCAGTGTCCTGAAGCAGAAAAGAGTTGGATTTCATCTCTATACATCCTGTAATTCTAGCAGGACACAAAAAATAGCCTAAGGAACAAAACAGCATTGAATTCTTAATGCTGGGGGAGACAGTTCTTTTGCTACTTACCATATTCTTCATGACATTTGGAATCTGAGGGATGCTTCTTATGGTCTGCAAATGGCTTTCAAACTTCTCAATAAAATTCACAGCCTCAGCCAACAACTCTACTATGTATCTGTAACCAAGAATGAGCTCCCTAGTCAGCAGTTGTGCAAAACAATGAGGATTTAATACTCCCAAGCTCTTATTTCTTTCCCCTGTGGGTTTTCTTGGTCCTCCAGTTTTATGCGAGTTCTTAACCATTTAATTAATTTATCTGCAATTACACTTCTTTTATGACTCTCAGCAACAAGTAGGGCAGGAACTGCAGAAGTAAATATGCACTTTTTCAGTAACTGGACTAGATTTTTACACCATGAGAAGGACTGTATTTTTAAAACAAGTACTATGTAAGGAAGAAGTCAAATGCTAAAGTAACAATTCCTACCTATGAAGAAGCATAATGAAGCAAGCATTTAACACATTTGTTTAAAACAATATATCACAAATTGTTGTGTAATATTCAGAAAACCAGACCAATAACCTAGTAAGTACTAATAAAAATATGTATCACTACCTTTCTATGAATTTAGCAATGAGTAAACTACTAGCTTTTAGCTGTGGTTCTGCTACCATTTTTTATTTCTATTCTTCTCAATGGAAAAGTGAATGAAAGCATGTGATTTTCACTGCCTATTAGTTCAAATTAATTTGGACTTATGCAAAGAAAGAACAATTATTTTCTATATGCCTACTTGTGGAAAGTAGCCTCAATAGGCAGGCTGTCTTGACATCTGGGCTTTATCAACCTCTTCCTAAGAGCTCTCTTCTCTTTCAGTACAGCTTCCAAGTGTCTGTTCATATCTTGCAAAATATCACATTTTTTGCCTATAAAAGAAAATTGCAAAGTTGAAACTACTGTTGTGCTAAAACAAGAACTAAATTTCTTTTGGAGAAAGACAGAAATAAAAAGTCTGATCTACTGCACTGGAAAGTTTATATTTTGTTGGAGTGTACAGGACTTCATATCAGCATGCATTTCAAAGTGGTCATACTTATCTTTTAGAGATATGGCTTTGTTAATTGTTTTACATTATCTATGGTTTTAAGTAAACTATCTCCGAGATGAAACCAACTTCTTAAACTATACCATAGCATTGACATATTACAATATATTTCACTAGGCTAACACAGCAGTAACAAGCTAGAATGTTTTTAAGCATCCATCAAATTGTGGGAAAAGTGTGAAATAAAAAAAGAATTGAATACATATGCTCCCAAAATACTAAAATAAAAATCCAACTAATTTTAGGGGCATACAGATGCAGTAGAAATACAGCGAGTTACTAGAAAAGCAGCAAAGTAGCATGCAGGCCAAGGGAAGCAAATCAAGTTACTGATGGTCTCAGAACTCCTGATGATCCACTGACCCTGGGGAGCTGACCATGCACAATCACAACTTTTTTGGAGAATGAGTTAGGAACAGAGCTTCTACTGAGACAGTGGAGAATGCAAGTTCAAATAGTATGGAAGCAATCTTTAGGGGCTAATAAAACACCTGCAACCTCTAACAAGCTATCCAGCGGAGACAGCTGCAATAACTTCTAGAATTGTCACGTACTTAGACAGATGAAACATTAATCTGCCGATGAAGTCATTTAACACTCTTTTTTTTTTTTCCTAGGGTACAACTGCACTTACTTAGGTAAAAAGGGTGAGCAATGTCTGCTGTCTCCTTCTCCAACTGTAGAATTTCAGTTTTCAGCTTCTTCTGCAAAAATAAGAACATCAAATTAAAATGCAGTTTTAATATACTTACCCAAATGTTGTTGACCCTGTTGGGGTGGTGGAGGAAGTACACAGGGAGAAAGAAGGAGGGCGGGAGAGTGTGTATGTGTGTGTGAGAGTGAGCATTTGCATGACAGCATGCTACCATGCTCTCTTAAGTGTTTCTATTACTAGGTGGGGTTTTTTTGGTCAATAGGAAAATGAAAAAAAAAAAACCAAACCCAACTAAAGAAGTTGGTGATTTATTGGGAATTTGGGCTGGAAAAGACAGATCCTGCAATTCATTCCTAAACCACAGAAACTCACATCTCCTACAAAGTAGTCTATATTCTACTCAAGAACTCTCTCAGCCCAAAGCCTCCTTCTTCTGGCAGATTGGGGTTTTTTTTAGCTGTGGGAGAAGCTGTCTCAGATGAACCTCCTAGCTTTAATTCTTTCCAATGATAAACTAGCACAAGAGCAGCAGATACCTTCTTGGGGCTGAAAGAGTTGTAGTAATTTTTGACTAGACAAGATAAGACTGAGGAAAGTATAGAAGGGGATGACATATCAGTCTCTCAAGACACACAGAGAATTGTTGCTTTGCTTTTTTTGATCATTAAGAGGACAAAAATAAACCTGCTTCACTCATAGCATATTGAACATTAGTCACAGAGAGTATTTTGCACGTGAAACCTTCCAGCGAAGGAGACTAAGCAGCCACCTTCCTGGGAGCTGTAAACTGTTTGTTCCTTCTGCCGGTCAATATAGGATGATGATGGTCGTTGAACTCGTTCTCCAAAAAAGTACATGGTGAATTTGTCATGCTGCTTTGCAGTACGGCTTTGCAGGTGCTGGAGCCTGCATTGTGCAATTTAATAAACAAAGTTTTTGTACCAGCTAACAACTGCTCAGTTGGCCAACAGCCAACTCAGGTAGTAGGAAGCAACTGAAGTTCTCTCTTGCTAACCAATAAAATGGTCTAGTTGCCTATAAAGAAATGCATTTTTGTGAGTGTAAGTAAACTATGAATTATTTGTTCTTCAGTTTCTTCAGAGAACTTCAGGTAACACTTCAGTCAAAGATGCAAGTTGCTGCATCTTTCCAGTTATACTGAAAAATTTAGCTTCATAATATTGTTCTTTTCTTTATGACAACTCAGTCCACTGGCGAAAAGTGCCACCTGGTAAACTGTCAAAAAAACCCTAAAACATGAAACATTAGCACACATCAGTCTGACACCTCATCAGGTGACATGTACTATCTCTAAGTATTGAAGTGTTGAGTGTATACTGACAACAGTAAAGGCTATACCTCATTGATTTCAGCTTGAATGTTTGCCATTTTTTCCATCTCTGAGAATTTCACAAAGCATGGGGGTTTTCTACAGTTTAAATCCAATGCCTCCTGTGAAAGGAAAATAATGGGAAAAAATGCAATCAGCAGCAACAAGAACGTATTGAACAAATTCTCAAGACTGGCTTTTAATAATCTAAAGTTACTGTTACTCTCTTGTACTATGCAATACAGTAAATTGCATCTGAATAGCTCGTAAAATACATGCATTATTTGGAGAAAATGGAACACGAGTGAAAATAAAATTTCATAAAAGGCAGTATGAGAGCACTCTCAATGATACTGGCTCACATGCTGCTGGAACGCACTAGAGGGCATAAAAAACCCCTCACGTCTCCGCTCCAGAAAAACACCCGCCAGGAGGTACAGTTATTCCTAGCACGGAAAGTTGCCATCAGCCAAGAACGTGAGAGGTCCCACAATAAAGGGAAGAACTTCTCTGCCTCTCAAATTAACAAGCATTTACACAAACAGGGACACGGCTGAGCGTTTGCAACGCGATCCTACTCCGAGACAGGCAGCCGGCACCGTAGCGGACAAGGCACCAAAGCACAGGCCTGTC